ACACAGTCTCAGTCCTTTGGCTTGGGCGAGCCCGAGCAACCTTCAGTCGTTTCACAGTTGGCGAATGGCTACCAGCCCAGCGGGAAATCATATCGGCCCATACATTATCAGATCCCGGTACATGCTCCACTACATACTGGTAGTTCATTAGCTTCATGGACCATCTTAAAAGTTTCCCTTTAATATGTTTCTTGATCGAAACGTCCGGTGCGAAGATGTGAATCAGGTTACGATGATCACAATACATCCGAAAGAATTTTGGCCTAGTAGCAAGTAATCCAGTTTATCACAGGCAACGATAATGGGGAATGCCTCTTTCTCGATGACAGTCCAGTTTAGCTGGCTTCCGGCAAACGTTCCACTTGTGCAGTGAATGAGCCGATGTTGTTGCTCTGTAGCAGGCTTCTGAGGGTCGAAGTCCACAACTTGAGTCACAATAGCGGCGTATCCAACGTTCGAGGCATCCGTGAAGAGACATGTGGTAGCGTTGTCATCAGGAAAATCGAGAGTAGCAGCTTTGGCGAGCGAATCCTTAATCCGGTCAAATGCCACTCGTTTCACATCTGTGTTCAATCTCCAAGTTTAATGCCAGCAGCCGCCCCTCTTGGTCCTCCTGGTTTTTCGCTGAAAAGGCCGCGCTCCAGTTTTTTGTTTGTAAAGGGGGCAATCTGCCCTTGCAAAATCAATAATGCTTTGACGCATCCAATTGACCGCACAGACAAATTGCTGAAGCTCTCCGGCAGTACGTGGGTATGGCAAAGCACGTAGCGAGTCAATTCGGTTTGGGTCATGTCTGATGCCTTCACCACTTATGATCCTGCCGCACCACTTGACCTCAGTCTGGTACAAGATCGTTTTCTTTGCACTCAGCTTTAAGCCAAAGTGGTCCATTAGTGACAGCATTTCTTCCATCTTGTCCAAATATACATCAATATCCTTGGCATAAAGGAGTAAGTCGTCGATCCAAATCAGTAAATGGTCGTACAGTAGACTGGCAAAGCAATTCTCCATGGTCTTCTGAAAGAATATCGCAGCATCACTACTACCCTGAGGCACTCTGCGAGGGGGTAAAAACCTTTCTCATCGGTTCATGTATGAAAGCAATTCTTGACACATTAGAGCCAACGGAAGCTGCCAAAACCCCTTCAAAAAATCAAAGAGTCCGAAATGTTTCATTCCCTTCGCGTTCTCCATCACCACGGATAAAATCGGCATAACTGCTGCCATGACTTCAGCCACCCGCGT